TGCCCAAGTCTTTTCATTTTCTTTGCATGTTTACTAAGTTTATCTTAGTACAGCTTTTTCTTTTATGTGTTATGTCCTTCAGAACATGGGCAATCATAGCTCTCCACAACTTCTTATCATTTTTAGCTCTAAGCAATGTTTGTCTCTTTACTTTCCCTTCCAGTCTTTGTTCTGCCTTTCATTTACACAGATCAGGTTATTCAATGTTTCCTTCTTCTCCTCTTGCCTTCAATATGTGCTGGGGGTGTCAAATTCTCCAAGCTCTCTTTCCTCATACCAGATATTTCAACTGTCTCTTTGATTCAAAGAACAAGTGTACATTTTCTTCCCCATTTTTCTTAAAACTTCCTTATTGCTCACATATTCTGTTCATGTTATTCTCAGCAACCTTCAGTAGAACCACATCTATGTTGCCTCATCTCTTCATTGGTGAGAAAATTTCCAGTATTAAATAACATTGATATTACATAGTAATTCAGAGCTCTTTATTTATTTCTAATGAAATTTTCTTGTTTCTTAATATTTTGTTTAGTTTTTCAAAGGAATCTTTTCCTGTACCAATGTGTCTTTGAATTTTTTGTTATATTTTCCTTTGTCTGGTAAGACACTTTCCAGATAAATATATGTACTAGCTTGATTATGACATCTTGGTTTGCTTCTTCTTGCTAACAACCGTATATTCTATCTTTGGAGTAAAAAATACAGGGCATTAGATTTACTAAATGGGTAGGGACTACTTGCTTTGAAAATCAGCATTTGAAATCTTAGTTTATACCAAGACTTGAACATTGGTACTAGAAAAATTTGCAAATATTTCTGCCACTAAGCATGTTAATCATTTCTTAAAACCTTTACTAACAATAGTTATTTATTTACAGTACAAGATCTAAATGTGGGAATGGAAAGATTGTGTTGCACCAATCTTCCAAATGAGAACAGCCTGCCTTGATATTTGCTAACCTTAGCTTGGCAGGACACATGACCAAATTAGAAAAAAAATGGGAGAGAAATATTGTGTTGTTTACAAGTGGGAAGAGACTGCTTGCCTTGAAAATCTGCATTAAATTTTTTTTTTTTTTTCTAAACTCTGGTGGTCAACATAACTATCTTTATGACATTACTTAAATAGACTGGTCTACTTATAAAAAACAAAACAAAAGGTAAGGATTTCTTTTTAACAATTTTTGTAGATTAACCTTCATTAGACCTTCCTCAAGCCACAACATTTGGTGGAATTGAAAAATATTGACTGTTTATCATTTTACACAAGTTGTGTAGGGGTCATGTTCATAATATAAATACAGTCCCAAATGAATTCTTGACTTTTTAAAGATTTATCTGCCCTTTGTTTTTATTTATAAATGTCAAGTTTGAAACTGTGTTTATATCACTGATAACTGCATTGGGAAAAAGAACATCATCATCAGCACAGTGATGTAAGTACAGTTTCAAACTCATGTGAGCCAAGAGTAACTGGCTGAGAATTTTCATAATAATATTACCCCCAAACATGTAGCCTCCTATCCCTCCTGATCTGAACCTTCTGGATGACTACATTTGGGATACTGTGAGGAGGGAAAACAACCAGCAGCCCCATAAGACTTGTTCAAGGCTGCCATTGTTGATGTAATGACCCACATGAATGAGAACCCCCTGATCCAGGCATGCAGTCATTTTTTAAGCTAAGGGTGGAATAATTTATTTCCATTTTTTCTAAGTAGAATATGTATGTAAAATTTAAAAAATATATTGATTTTTTCTATTGAATATATCTTCACTTTTTTTTATATTGTAATTAGTTCTCAATTACCTGGTGCACACTGTATATATCTATATAGAAATGCAGGACAAAAGAAATGCTTTATTTTAATTTTTATAACTGAAATTAATGGAGATAATATTTATGCTAAAAGCAATAAAGTAAAAAAAAAAAAAAAGGAGTTATATGTTTCTATTGGCAGAACTCCTCAAGATTTTGCTTCAGGGCTTTTTAGAATCATGTGTTATTTTTTTCAAGGTCAACATTTTTATCATTCCTGTTCTTATTCCAGCAGAGGATTTTGCATGTTGAAACTTTGATCCTTATCATTTGTCTGTCTGATCTTCTCATGTAGACAGCATTGATAAGTCAACAAGATAATACAATACAGATGAGAAGGAACTGATCATCTCAGAGAAAGCCAACTTTTTTCAATGACTCTTACAGTCTTGAATCTTTGCTCCCTCAGTGATACAAACATCTGCACAGTATTTATGTAAGTATTAGCACATCAGATAACTAAGTTGAATCACTAATGTCACATATAATTACCACTGTAGTGAGTTCATTTCTCATTAGACTGGCACTACAGAATCACACAGAACTGTACCAAATAACAGAAACCACATTACTTGAAGCCTATCAAAACAGCAACTACTAATACAGATAGCACATGCAACTGAAAGAAAAAATAATGACATAATCAAAATGTTAACATTCTACACCACTTGCTAATACATTATCATTACCATTGGTGTTCTACTATGAAAACTTTGAGCAAGATGTAGGTACATTTTGTAAATAATTAGGGGATAACCAAAGTCACTTCCCTCCTCTCACAAGGCACAAAGTCTGTAACCTATCTCAGCTTGGGATGGGCTCCTCAAGGCGGTGTAATGGTTAGCAAGCTTGTCTCACTAAAACAATTATGACTGAGTAGTGAGTTTCATCCTCACTGGGTGACCCCTACTTTTGGCCTTGTGGTACATCTAAGTTACACTTGGAAAATCACTATCTCAGCTTGGGAAGTTTTCAGACTCATCAAAAACCTTGACTCTATAAAGGCTACTGGACTGGATAAAATCTATGTTGTATTTAAAAATCCTAGTCCTGAATTATCTCCAATCTTGGAAAAAGTTGTTTAACTGTTGCCTGAAAGAGAAATATTTTCCAAATCTGTTGTCATTTCTTCACACTGTTTTCAAGAATCCTGGTGAGAATTCCTCAAATCACAACATTGACCCATCAGCCTCTTTAGTGTCATAACCAAACTGTGCAAGTCTATTATCAATAAGGAGATAATTGATCACTGCAGGTATCCCACCAAGGCTTTCTCCTCAGTACTAGCCTCTTTCTGCTTTCTATTAAAAATCTGCTAGGTAATCTAGGTATCTATGCAGATAATAGCACAACCAATGGACACATTTAAAAAATGAACATGAAGCTGATCTCTTCTCTGATCAATCTCTAACAGCTCAATGGGGAAAAACTGGCTTGTAACTTTGAATAACTCAAAAACTAAACTAGTATCATTTCATCAACACCAGTCAGACACCGAGTGTTCTTCAGTCACAATGAACAGTTGCACCCTCAATGAGGCTCCATGTTTTGAAAGTCTATTTGAACATGTTCACTCCAGACCTTGTATATACGATCCATTGCTAAAGATACAGGAAAAATGGTGCCTCATCCTATTTCTTAAAAAAAAAAAATACTTGACTCCCCTGGCATGTTTTATCTTTTCAAGAGTCAGATTAAACTAAAAATGGAGTATTGCCACCATATCTGGGCTAGAACTGTTCAATATTCACTTTCTAGCCTTGACAGAGTTAAAAATGTTTATGCAGTCTGGTGGGGGAAGACTTCTCCACTCTGTAGCTTCTTTTCCATAGATTTTTTTTAATACTTCCATCCCAAGCAAGGCAATAAGGCCACTAAGATGCAAGGGGGTTACTGAGTGTGAGAAAATATGAGAAAAATCACAATGCAGAAGAGAGACCAATAAAAGAACAGGAATTAAGAAGACAGAAGATAACAATTGACATTGCATTTAAAAGATAACAATTGACGTTGCATTACAATTTGAAGGTCAAAGTTGGAAAGCAAGAGTCTGGAAGAGAATTCCATAAGTGAGAGAAGAAACTATTAGTATAGAAATTACAGTTGCATCTAGCCATTTCAACTGTAAAATGATGAGACCTAGCTGCCAATAGAGTACTGTGCTTAAATTTGTAATGTCTAGGTACCAAAGAGGAAAGCTCATCAAAACAATTACCATAGAAATATTTTTTATAAAAGGCACAGGGAACCTATGTTACAGTGGTGAGAAAATGACAAACTGAGATGCCAGGTCAGGACCAATAGCATTGCAGATTTTTCTTCAAATTTTGTCAAAAATCTTCATATATTGCAGTGAACGATGGACAATTTCCTCGCAGATGAAGAGGAGACTTGAAGAAACAGACATGTGGTTCTACAGAAGGATGCTGAGAATACCATGGATAGAACATGTGAGCAACAAGGATGTTTTAAGGAAGATCACCTTTGTTTATGATCAGAACAAAACAGTGGACATTCCTGATATACATAATGAGGAAAGAGAGCTTGGAGAATTTGACACTTACAGGACATAAAAAAAGCAAGAAGAACAGAGGAAAATAGTGAGAAACCTACCTAATGAACTTGTGAAAATAAATAGAAAAACGTGAACAGGTTGTATAGTAATGGGGCAAATACTGCATAGTGTTACAATGAATAGGAAGTTGTGGAGAGCCATGATCCTCGATATCCTGAATGAATATGGCAAAAAAATGAAGAAAAAGGTCTGTGTTTATATGTAAAGGGTGGGATGGCATCACAGCATGGGAAATGGAATTCAATATATTTGAATTTTTGGTTGAAATTATGTTCATTTAACACTATTATTTTTTCGAAAAATCATAAGTTCACTTTTCCCCTGCCATGTGTCTCCTCACCAGATATCATAAATTTTCTCATCAGTGACACACAACAATAGTTGTTAAAGAAAAGAATAGGTCAGTAGACACTTGTGAAAATTTCTTACCTATAATTACTTTACCTACTCAGGCTGTAGAAACTAAAAACCTGTTACTCCAATTGTTAAGTTTCACAACAGTCCAATCAGTCAATCAATATGACTCATATATATATATATATATATATATATATATATATATATATATATAGATATATAGATATCAATTGAATATCTAATACTTACTTGGTGCTCTGGACACCAGTCGTAAAGGCCTCAGCACTCTGAACGCTCGCAAGGCTTTCACATCAAAGCCATCGTTATTCAGAGAAGACAGTACTGTACTAATAACACTGCAAGGAGAAACAAAGATTTTAAGTAAAAGGTACAAAACATTTTCTTAAGAAAAAATAAAATGTATGCTTTTAATTTTTATTAAAACTGTGTTATACAATTACGAATGATGTAGGACTTCTGAATCTAGACAAGTTGTTATTAATTTCAATTTTTAAGAAAAGAAAAAACAGACTTATCAAATCAAATGTGCATACCCACTAAAATAACATTTATAGTAATAAAAAATCATATATAAACCTAATGCATGGCTTGTAATTGGGTAAAAATTATCATCTTTCATAAAAAAAAAAGAAGCCAAACAGTGTGTCTGGTTTTATCATGTTACTCAATCTTTCTTATGATCCATGTTAATCTTTATTATAATCTGAAATTAAAATTAAATATCAATATCCACAATTTATTTGCAGTATGATGAACAACTCTCGAGTTGCATAATAAAATCTTGCACCACCAAATAAGTTACTGTAAATGTTTCTAATAAAATAAATAAACAGAAATTTATGTTAGATAATGTATATCCTAAAAAAAAAATTTATTAAACATTGGTTTGTTAATACAAATTTTCTTGTGAAGACTGATTTGCATAATCTGACAAAGTGTATGTTTCTCCACCCCCAAAATGTATACAATAGTTTTAATAACAGTCATGTTCATTATCAGAAAGTTAAACACATTCTGAATAAAGAATAAATATTTAGAAAGAAGTTAAAAAATATACATTCTGCTTTTCTCAGATGTACCCACAACAAAATTGTCCAATTGTTAGATCAAGCTTTGAACTGTTGTATCTTAGAAATGATTGAAGATATCTTACTGGAATTCTCTGAGGTTTTTATAATACTATTAGACTCTACTTTGAGCAATAAGAATGTATAATTACTCTCCAAGCTTAACAGAAGAATTGTAATGAAATCGGTTATAAATGAAAATGACGTTCATCATTAATTTATCATAGCTAAGGACTGGAAGTTCATGAGGGATTAAAATAAAGTTCAAATATATATATATATATTATTCCAGGATCACTTTAGAACTTATTCAAGATGGTCTTCACCATCTCTAACCTTCTAACTTTCTGTCCTGGAGTAACAAGTTGACTCACAAGTTTCACATACGATTTCATTTTTAAGCCTTTTTCACTGCTCTTTGGACTGTCATAGTTGAAACTCCTCTCTCATATGCATATGCCAAGTTTCCTATGGATTGAGTTTGATATTTTCTAATTGATCTCTTTAGCTCTAAGTTGAAATGATGATCCCTCTTCTTGTTATGACCTCCTGATCCAGTTTTCCTCTCTACTGTTCCCTCTTTTTTAAACTTATTCACCATTCTCTTAATGGACTTTGAAGATGGAAGCCAGAATATGAATGTTGGTGAAATTACTGAAGGCTTAAATGATTTTTCTCTCTCACCATTGCTCAGGAAAAAACAGTGGGGCTGACACAAAACGATTTTAACCTGTTCTTTTTCTAGCTGAACAACTCAAATGGTTTTTCAGTGATTCTTATGACAAATGGTATCCAGATGGCTAAATGTCTTATCTGAACACCTGGAAAAAAGAAACTCAGCTTAGTGCTTCATTTTTCTTTAGATATCAAACATTTTGTGGGATGGACAATTATGCTGTTACATCTGATATATTTTATTAGTTTTTATTTAATATCTTCTCTTCTTCTTATCTAAATAATACCAGCCTAACAGAGCCAGAAAATGGCATATTAAGGTTAAGAATGTTCTTATATAAGCATTTCTGTTTTAATAAGATGCCTCATTTTTATTAAATAATTTTCACAACAATTCAAAGACTTCAAGCAGAAAGAAATTATTGAGTTACAGTTAGTTTAATAGATTATTTAAACATTCTCCATTCCTTTTAGAGAGAAAGGGCTGCTGTCTTACACAAGATATAATCTGTAGTCATTAGAATTAATATTTGCAATACCGAGAGACCAGGGTTGCTATGGAGATTTACATTATATTCTTTCACTACTTTGGAGATGATTCCAACCGTTCCAAGGATGACTGACACAATGCTTGCCTCAAGGTTTTACAAGTGCTGCTTCCTAACAATCAAAGGTTTCTTTGTTTATGTGGGTTTATTTATTTTCCCATCAATCTGCACACCAAGAATCAATTATTTTATTCTTTTAAATCCATTATAATGGAAGAAATTTGCATCATGTTGGATTTTTCTGTTTTTATGATGAGAGAATCCAAAGAAGGTAATTTAAGTTAGACTTTTTAATTATCCCATTAACTGCTGATAACAGAAATTTCCATCATTGTAATTCTATGGCTCAGCTGTGAATGATAGAAATGTCTGCTGAAGTTAATGGGTTGGGTTGGGTTAAATGATTTGAAAGTCACAAAAATACAAAGAAAATTTGAATTTATCCATCAACAAATTAAATATTTCTTAACTGTTGCCTGAAATTTGGAGATGAATTATTTAAGTACATAACTTTTTGGCTGATATATTCTTCAGCCTTCATTACTATTATCTGATGTTATGAATTGAAGTACTTAAATAATTATATGAAATACTCATTTTGTTAATATCATACCTATAAAGAAAATGGAAAAATCCTAGGTGTTGTGATAAAATGTATACTTCAGGAAGGTTGACAAAGTTGTAAGAATACAACAAAGGCAATCATGCAGATAATTAAAGGCTCAATAAAACATTTTTCTATTTGATAAAACATATACTTGAGGAAGGCTGAAGAACACATGAGTGAAACAAAAAAGACAATCTTCCACATAATTAAAGGCTTAATAAAACATTTTTCCATTTGACAAAATGTATACTTGAGGTAGACTGAAGAACATGTGAGTGAAACAACAAAGACAATCATCCAGATAATTAAAGGCTCAATATCTATATTTTTTCATCACTACTCTCAATCACTTACTTCCAGATTTTCCATGCATAACCTACAGATAGATTGCCCAAACTTGGCTAACATAAATTTAAATAAAAAAATAAGATTCTGTACTTATACCTTAATGCTGTTTCCCTAATGCCAAAAATATTTAGTTTCTTTATGTAAAATATTGATGATGTCAGTGGATCGTGATAAGAAAATGGTAGAAGCTTGCCTACTTATATACCATGTTCAACTGCAAATATAATTGTTTCACATCCTTGCTACTGCTAGAATTTGCTATATCACTATAAATGCAATGGTTTAAGTAAATGAAATGTTTGACATACTTAATAAATCCTATCCATGCTATTTTTGGGGGTTTATTTTATAATGGCTCCCTGCCTCAAGCAGCGCCTAAACAAGATGAAATATGAGGTACTAAAAAGGGAAAATGAAAAGGGTGCCAAAACAATTTTTACCATTTTTTATTACATGCAACAATGTTAAACAAAAATACAAGATGACATAAACATAAACATGGTATTTACAATACACAAGGTTTACACTAAAGTAAGTTTACTACCTTTGAGCTAAGACAAGTTGAGGTTGTCAATTACCAACATATATCTTCATTCCCCATGGTGTGACTTGAGACACCAGTCACAACACATGTACCTCTTCTTCCCAGGACCAGAATGACTGTGACAAAGGCCCCAATTCATCTCAATTGTCCTTAATGTTTCATGGGCATTAACTCACCTCATCTCTCACTAGGTGGAGAGATCTATCTAAAACCCTAAAATACACCCTCTCAAATACGTATCTGAAAATTGAAGAATATAAAAAACATGCAATTTACTGAGAAACAAAGTTTTGTAAATGCTTAGGCCACTTAACATGTCTCTCTGAATGTGTTCATTTACACAATGAGTGTTTATTTGCTTGTGTAATGTCCATTGTGACTATATTGGAGGGTGCTACTTCTAAGTATGAGTTTTCCAACATGGCTGTCTAAAGAAATATTTTAATTTTTATTCTTTATGATAATAATGAAAAATTTGTTATTTGCAGATGACTTTGAAGAGTCCAGGATATGGAGGTTGCAGTGAGTGTGACTGAGCTGTATCCTGGATGAATACATGAGTACATGTCTTCAAAAGTTTAGTTACATATACATTGTTGTTGTTATGTCCTGTTGGTGAATATTTTGTTAATCAGTCTGTCAACAAATGATAAGTCCCCAACTTTTGTGTGGCGAGTCAAAGAAATATTGTGCTTATAACCACAATGTGTTTCCATACAATGCTTCTGAACAGTTCATCTTTACTGTGGTGCAAAATCCCAAAATTATAAGTGGAAGATTTCCTAACCAACTTGTTTTGCTCAAATCTGCTTGTAAACAGGCTTTCCGACTATGGTGTAATCTCTCTATCATGCCATTTGCTTGGGGATAGTAGGCTGTATTATGGATATTTCTGGTTCCTAGCAGCCATGAGAGTTTGTAAAAGAGTTTGGATTCAAACTGTTGACCTCTATGTTGTAATAATTTCTAGCACATCGAATCTTGCTATCCACTCTGTGAGGAATATTTTGAGTCTTGTGTATGCTGTCATATCTGGCATTGGCAATGCTTCGTACCACCAAGAGAATCTTTTGATAAATGTTAACAGGTAAGATTGACCTTCACATGTAGGAAATGGTCCAGTGATGCTGATATGAATGTGTTTAAATCTGATCAGGCTCTGGAAATGTACCTAGAAGAGTGTGAATATGGTGACCAATGATGGCTTTCTGACATTTCAAGCATAACTTCGACTATGATCTCTGTTATATTCTGTGCTAATAGGAATATATACTTGAAAAACAAGGTGAATAAAATAAGTAAAGGTTTATTGTAAAAAAAAACAGTACAATAAGAATAACAGTAACAGTTATGCACAAAGTTGTCACAAGTCAATCCAGTAGTGAGTGCTACTATTGAAAGGACGGTAGTTCTCGTGTAAGTCTAAGCCATACTCAACAGATCCCAGATAGTCAATCTTTACTAGCTCCCCTCCCCCATGAGGGTAGATGTGGCACAAGGCCGAGTTTAACATGGGTTATCCAAGCCCATAGGCTCAAACAAAATTTCCCCATAGAACCCACATAAACGAGTTTGGGTCTGTCTCCCTCCCTGGATGAGACTCTGCCCTTCAGCATAGCTTTGTCCTGAAGGCAGAGAGTTCAACAGCACAGCTGGAACAGATTCCAGCTAGTCAGTATTTACTAGCCCCCACCAATAGGGTAGATGTGGCACAAGGTCAAGTTTAACGTGAATCCTTCGAGCACATATGCTCAGCCAAAATTATTTCCTTGAAACCCGTATAAACCTGTTCACGATCAGTCTACCTCCCCGAACGAGACTCTGCCCTTTGGCAGAGCCTCGTTCAGGTTCCTCTCTGCCTGAAGGCAGAGTGTTCAACTGTCTAGCTGAAAAGATTTCGGCTAGTCTCTGTACTCTGTTGACTTACAGATACTTATAGGTAGTTACTACCCATAGTGTAGTCATACATGGAGGGGGGTGACAGGTTATTTCATTACATCAATCTCACATCTGCTTTAATTCATGGCCAGGGAAATCATTCTGTCAGTAGGCATATAGATGCATTCACTCCAGGATGTGATAAACTGTACACTGCATTAAAAATATCTCTACAGGTGCTGGTATAGATGTTTGTACTCTGCCAGTGCTGGTGTCACAAATGATCTTTTTTTCACCAGTGGGATTAGTGATTGTCACAAGCTTTAAGAAAGTGTTATTGTCTTTGAGAAGACATTGCGAGTAATCACCTTTTTGTTGTTCACTGGACAAAGTGCAAAAATCTATGAAAGATTTCAATAAAAAGGAATTAATTCCATATGATAAGATATCTGCAGATTTGTTGCTTGTTCCTTTGATATGTCGAATTTCAGATGTAAATTACAGTATATAGTCCACTTGACGAATTTCTCATGGCGAGTACTTGTTGGAAGAAGATTGCCATGTACCCAATAAAGGTTTATGAACTGTTAAAATATGAAATTTTTGTCTCTCCAGGATTTGGCAAAAGTACTGTATTGCCGAGAATGCAACTAGCAATTCTCTACCAAAGGTACTATAACATGTTTCTGTCTGTGATAATTTACTAGAGAAGGAGGAAATTGGTTTCCATTCTGAGTCACATTCTTGTTACAAGGCAGCTCCAATGCTGATCAAAGAAACATCTACTGCCAGGAACAGCTCATGGTTGGATTGGATGTGAGATAACTTGACGGTGTGTTCTAACATTACTTTCACTTTGTTGAATGCTGTTACGACATGTTCTGATAATGTGATGTTAGTTAATGGTAATAGCATTTGTGCACAGTGTGGGAGGAATCTATAGTAAAAATTTACTAACCCTAAGAATTGGCAAAATTGCCTCATTGTAGTGAGGGCTTGGAAATTTTTAATGGCTTCTACTTTGTCCAATGATGAAGAAATACCATCAGCGGAAATAAGGTCTCCTAAAAACATAACTAAGTTGACTGAAAACACATTTGATTGGGTTTATCACTATTCCATATTGCTTCAAACATTCAAACATATGCCTAACATGGTCAATGTGGTCCTGCACAGACAAACAGTAACTCATGTAAGACTTGGTTTACAAATCTTTGGAATGTTTGGGCTGCATTTTGCAAGCAAAATGGGACTTATACATACTCAAACAGTTCGAACAGCATAACTATAACTGTTTTCAGAAATTGTTCAGGATCCACACTGGTATTTGGTGGTATGCACAGATTAAATCCAATTTCATAAAATATTTGTTATTTTGAGCAACTGTTGTTACATCCTGTATATTTAACACGGAGTATCTATCAGGTTTTGAAACAGCATTCAGTGCGCTGTAGTCTCCACATGCAGGCCATGTGTTGGAATTTTCAATAACAAGGTAAAGAGGTAAAGACCATTCACTCTTTGAGGGATGAATATTACTTAACCTCATCATCTGTCGAAATTCCACTTTAGCTGCTTTTAATTTATCTGGTGCTAAATGTCTGACTTTATGATGAATAGGTGACCCACTTATTTCTATATTCTATTTAAATGTGTGTGGAAAAAGTTCCTTATGAAAGGAAGGGACAGTGATGGATGGACACTCATTTAAAAGTTTAAGGAATGCATCATCTTGATTTGCATATGCCACTGAGGAGCATAATGAGGTGCCAAACCTAACCAAACCATATGCCTTAAAGTGTGTTCCTAGGTCTCTTAAGGTACTAGCCATTTAGGTCAATAACCAAACTTTTGTAAAAAAATTGGTACCAAAAATAGTGCTGTTTACATGAGCAACTATAAAAAATGTGGCTATATGTCTTATGTAACCATAAATTAAGCTCCATACACTTTTTGCCAAACATATGTATTATTGAATCGTTTACAGCTCATAATGTAAATTTGCTAAGCTTGGGCCTCTTATCCACTATTGTTACTGGAAGGAGAGACACTGTGCCCTGCTATCTACAAAGGATATTCTAGAAGCCATATCAGTCAAATAAAATAGGTGGCCAGAGCTAGGTGCACCAACAGTAGATGTTGTTTTCTTCTGTCATTTTAGGCTTTTCCTGTTCCTTAAAATAACATGGAGGAACATAGGAATAACCTTTTCTCAGAATGTTTTGTGTTTTTGTTCTTGTTCCAATGGAATGTTTACAGGAACCACTACATCTTTAATTGTACTTAAAAGACTAGGTCTTTTGCTATTTTGTTCATGCAGGATTCCAGTTTTCACTTCCCTTCCTTTAGTTCTGTAAAGACATTACACTCTGGCACTTGTATGCTGGTCACTGCTGACTGTTGTGTGGATAGTAAATCAGCTATATGGTCTGCCACAGACACTAAATTTTCTACTGGGATAGTCGTATCCAGTGAAGAAATAGCTATTTTATATTGAGCTGATATTCTTTGTAGGAAAATGTTTCTGACAATACTCTTGTCTACTGTACCTTCTGCTAATTTTTGCAACCTTTTGAAGAATTATGATGGGGTACTATCACCTAGTGTTTCTTTCTCAAATAACTGTGAGATGCACTTGTGCATCAACACTGTTGAATATGCTATAACTCTCACAGAGTTTATCAAATGGTTTTTCAGAGGGTGGTGAAATAATTATATCTTTCACCTCTGAAATTATGTCTTGTGTTAAGACCAATACAACATAGGCAAGTGTATCTGTCTGTACAGTAATATCTTTCTGTTTAAAAATAGATGTAATTGTGCAAAAAATAAAAAAGGGTCTTCCCATACACAAGTGGTTGCATTTAAAATGAAAGGTGGCATGCCATATTGTTTTCACAAAGTGATTTTTATTACCGGCAATTAGTATAATAGTAGTAGTGGTCCACTTTAAGGTAAACACTGAGTGGGAGGAGCTTAGCTGATGCAGCAGATCAAATTAGCCAATCACATTTCAGGCACAAAAAAATATAAGAAACAGGCATATTGAATTGAAAACATAAAAAGATTTTTTATACCAGTTTGAACAAATCAAGAAAAAAAAAAGAAATATACTCTTGAGTAGGACTATTTAGAGAAAGAAATATCACTTTTAAAAAATAGTTTTTTTTGTGTGACAAATTTTTTAGCATCATTAAGTATCATTTTATTATACATTATTTTTCAGTTTGAAATAATTACATTGTTACAATTTGTTGGTGGGAGTTATTTTATAATGGTTCCCTGTCTCAGAGAGCATCCAAACAAGAATAAATATGAGGAAAATGGAAAGAGGGGTACCAAAATACTTTTTACCATTTTTTATTACACGCAACAATGTACTTGTGATAGACAAGGTTTACACTCGGTAAGTTTACTACTTTTGATCTAAGATCTGGTGAGGTCATTAGTATATATCTTCATTCTCCATGGTGTGAGTCGAGACACCAGTCACAATGCATATACAACCTCTTCCCAGGACCAGACTGATAGCGTCAATGACCCCAATTCATCTCAATTGTCCTTAATGTTTCAAGGGCATTAACTCACCTTGCCTTATCTGCTCACTAGGCAAAGAGTTCTATCTAAAATGCTGCATTATCATTGATTACATCAGAAACAAAGAAGAGTTTATAAAAGACATGAATTCATATTATCTTATAAAATGTTAGATGGCTGACTCAAAGGAAATCATCTAACGCTAATGAAACCTTTATTGTTGTAGAGAACCATGATTGCCTATGAAGGGACATGTCAAATAAAATAAGATTACTAAAATTTACATATTGAGGATTTAGTTATATAAGAAAATCAATTTCTCTAAATTCTAATGACAAATATATTTTTGAAAGTGACATTCTTTTGTTCAGTGTGAGAGACAAATGTTAAAAGTTGTGTAAGATATTGAAAAACAATAGCAATAATAATGAAAACAAAAGTGTTAGGAGGCAGAACAAAGCTTGGTTAGGTTGGGCACGTTGGATACCAGAAATTTAAAATCCTCCTGCATCTGCAACATTTTTTTCAATGTAGAATAATAATAACAACCAACATTTGTTGTATTTCATTCCCTCCCTTGCATATATATATATATATATATATATATATATATATATATATATATATATATATTCCATTAATAAAAACATTATTTAGTCTGAAGAAATCCTTTTAAAGGATGACGTGGATAACAGAATGTTTTTTTTTTCCATTTTGTCATTCAATTATCCCTATTAAAACAAATGTTAGACATTTGGGGTAAAAACAATGGATTTTAATCCCAAGTGAGATCAATCTACTGAATTTGT